GCCTCAGTCTTAAACTGGGGCTACTGAGTGGACCCCCTGGGGAGCCCTCCATTTGTCTCAACTCTGTGGGCTCTAAGAAATGTCCAAGGCCACAGGAGATCCTCAGGCTTGCTCTAAGATATCAAAGGAGCCTTTACAAAGACAGAACAGGGGCGCCTGCGTGGCTCAGTCACTTAAGTGTCCGACTCTTGATTTCAGCTCAGGTCATGATCTCATGGTTTGTGGGATCGAGCCCCACATCAGGCTCTGGGCTGACAGCATGGAGCCTGCTTGGAATTCTCTCTCTCCCTCTCTGCCCCTCCCCTGCTTTCTAGCACACACTTGGTCTGTCTCCCCCTAAACAAACCAGCAAACAACAAAATAAAAAGCCAGACCACCACCACCAACAACAACAAAATAAAAAGCTGGAACAAGGACAACACTGGAGTTGTCTTAAATTCTAAAACTGTGCTCACCAATACTTTAGCCATTCACCAGTGTGGCTACTGAACACTTGAAAAGTGACGAGTCCAAACTGAGATATGAAGTAAAATACATACTATGTTTTGAAGACTGAGTACAAAATGTCAAGTATTGATTACATGTCAAAATAGTAATTTCTTTTTAAGTTTATTATTTGTTTTGAGGGAGAGAGAAAGAGCTCCCACAAGAGGGCAGAGGGAGGGAGGGAGACAGAATCTTAAGGAGGCCCCACACTCAGTGCAGAGCCCAACACAGAATTCGAACTCACGAATCGTGAGATCACGACCGGAGCCAAAATCAAAAGTCAGACGCTCAACCAACTGTGCCACCCAGGTGCCCTTGAAATGGTAGTATTTTAGATATGTTGGATTAAATAAAAGATGTTATCAAAGTGCATCTCACCTGTTTCTTTGCACCTTTTTAGCGTGGCTAAAATCAGATCAGAGCTCTGGAACCTTCCGAACTCATGCGGGACTGGAGACTGGTCCAACCCGCCGCTGAGAACGGCTTCTGAAATAAAATGTAGATGAGCACAGCTCTATTTGAAACTCAGACCAGGGCACCCCCGAACCTGGGAATGCTCTCAAATGTACTTCTGTCACCAGGGAGCCATTCTGGAGTCTTACTGACACGAGGCCAAGGCCTACAGAGATGGCAGCCAGGGCTCTAGTTCCTGGAGATGGAGCTGTTTCTTCTCCCACCTTGCTGCTGAGCAGAGATACTTCTCAGTGATCTGACATAAAGGAATCAATTTCAATGCTGAATTTATCTCATGCATCATTCTGCATAATGTATTGACCACGGAACACTGGCATTGCCTTCCCCGGGAAGGCCTTTCCCTCCCTCTCTGGATTCCAGCCCCATCCCACCGCCCACATGAACACACCCTTCACCCTTCTCAAAGCACCACTACAGATGTTTATTTGCAGAGTCAACATGGGCACATTTGAATGCTAGGCTCTGTTGGAGTGTGCTGCTGCCCTACCAGACAACCCGGTTACCAAAAAAGCAGAGGCACTGAACCTATGACAAAAACATCATCTGATTACCGGGTTAGTGGGGAGTGGAGACTGATGCAATCCTAAATCTGGCTGCCTCAGCTGCCAGGTGTGACAGGCGGTGAGCAGACTTAGGCCTTTGAGAGAGTTAGGAGGCACGGTTGTCATGGCATCAATGACGTCTTTGGAAGCTGGAGCCACGTCACGGGTATCTGTGGCCTGACTCCTTCATCCCAGGGTCCAGTACACAGCAAGTGCTCAATACTTGTTAATCAAAGAGAGAAGAGGTGATCAGAGAATGCGCAGGCCTCCTGGATCCTGCGGTCCGCATATCCTGAGAAAGAGAAACGTAGCCCTGTACCACCAGCTTTCTCGTCAGGCCTTGGTGCTGCTACGGGCTGGCCTGGCACCCACAGCAAGGCTGTGGTGTTCTCCTGGGGAACATCAACAATTTCACTCCATCAGACACGACTACTCTGTGACTGTGACGAAGACAAAAACCAGACGACTCCATAATTACATCTCACCATAGACCAAAACTGAACGTTGTCCAAATCACAAAAAGGACCAGACGGCCCCATATTCTGGCTGAACGACTGCTGCTTCCTTATCAGTCCCAGATTTTTAGCCTCATCCTTCTCACCTTCTTGGTAAAAATGAAAATACCGAACACAGAATTTTCCTGCTTCCAATCCAATCCAATCCAATCCAATCCAATCCGATCCGATCCGATCCGATCCGGAGCAGAGCCCTGCTTCCCTGAGCCCTCCTACAAAGCACCAGACCCAGGCCCAAATTCCCTAGGCCCCAACACCCTCTGACTGAGACACCCCACAGCCCTGCCTGGCATGTTGACTTCCCTAATTCAATGGGTCAATAAAACCAACTCTGTCCAACCATGCGTTTCTGAAGAGTCTGGCTAAAGGGAACTAACAATCTTGGCCATAAACACCCTTTCCCAGGCGAGCCATGCTGCTGGTTGCCACTGTGCCTACCTACCTATTCCCCAGACCTGGAAAGGAAAAGAGGGAACAAGCATGGGGGAGGAGAAAAGTCAATGGTGACAGATGAGGAGGACTTCTCCAAAGTGCACTTTTCCATGGCCCACCCTAGGTTGGTGCAGTGTTCTATTCCTTTCTGCCATTAAAGCTCATCCAGAGACAGAAATTAATATAATAGGATGACTCATGAACCTACACTCACACCCACATACACACACACACAAATAAATAAACCACTTCATTAACTTCGGTCCTTTAACAAATTACTTGTGGCTCAAGTTGCAAATGATGGACACGAGAATTAAGGAATACAAACTATTCACAGTCCTACAACCACCTTGAATTAGGAGTAAGCCCTGGAGCCAGTTAGGTCTGGCCTGCCTTCCAGTGTATGACCTGAACAAGTTAAACGAAACTTCAGTTTCTCACTCTGCAAATTAAGAGAATTAATATTATGAAGTTGTCCTAAGGTAATAGGGCAAAGGCCCAGAATAGCACCTGGCACAAGGGGAGTGATGACAGGTAGGGGGCTGTCGCCAGTCACCTGATAACCGTTTTTCCCACCTACTCGCCCACCTCTTCCCCACTATGCTGATAATTCCCTCATGTCACAGTGCCATCTCGGCATTCCTCGGTCAACCTGCCAGGCTCATCCACCACGGCGGAAGCATCTAGGGTGTGAGGGGTCTTACTAGAAATTGGCACGTGATGGGAACTTCAGAAAAAGGTTGGTAAGTAAATCAAAACTTTATGAGCTCTAGCTGAAACCAAAATTGAATAGGTTTTATTCAAATGCAAGTGATTCCCGCCCCCCATATGCCTCCCCAAAGTGTGGCAGCTTAACTCGGTTATAACCTTCCCCAAATGCCAAACCTGCAGCTTGCCCCGTGTCCCTTGGATTCATCATGTGCCTGAAAATTTTTTCCACCCCATGTATCACCTGCAAGATCACATCTTATTACAATTTTATTGAAGAACCTTCGATCAAAATTCACCTCTAGAACAAAGTGCTATATGTGTGCCTAAAGCACAGCGGATGTTTTGTTTATTTCAAGAGAAGGAGAACCTCACAGTAACTCGCTGGAGCTGCAGTCTGGCCACAGGTGCGAACGGCCCTGAAACCCACTGAAAATGTCCACGGGATGTGGAGCATGCAGGTGGCTTTCAGACACCCAGTTTAACTTTATCTTTATCCCTGAATTTAACCCATGCCACAAGAGCTTTAAAGGACTGCAAAAACTGGTTCTATCAAGTTTTCTCAGCTAAGATCTGATGCCCATTTTTTACAAAATTCATCTAGTCCAGAGCAGGCTTGAAGAAAACTAAAGCACTCCTAACGATAGGTTTCCTTAGCAAGTATGAGGCAACCATTTTTAAAGAGCATCCTGGGGCGCCTGGGTGGCGCAGTCGGTTGAGCGTCCGACTTCAGCCAGGTCACGATCTCGCGGTCCGTGAGTTCGAGCCCCGCGTCAGGCTCTGGGCTGATGGCTCAGAGCCTGGAGCCTGTTTCCGATTCTGTGTCTCCCTCTCTCTCTGCCCCTCCCCCGTTCATGCTCTGTCTCTCTCTGTCCCAAAAATAAATAAAAACGTTGGGAAAAAAAATTTAAATAAATAAATAAATAAATAAAAAATAAAGAGCATCCTGGGGCACCTGGGTGGCTCAGTAGGTTGAGCCCCTGACTCTTGATTTCAGCTCAGGCCATGGTCCCAGGGTCGTAGGATTAGGCCCCGCACGGGGCTCCATGCTGAGTGTGGAGGCTGCTTGGGACTCTCTCTCTCCCTCTGCTCCCCTCCCCAACTTGCGCTCTCTTAAAAAAATAAATAAATAAATCTAAAAAATAAACAAACAGCACCTTAAGAGCAAAGAAAAAGAGAAGGAAGTCGGCAAGGAAAAGAGCCTCTTTAATGCTGGTTCTGTTAACTTTCATTGTGCTACCTGGTTTAGCAGGAACTGAGAGGCCAGCCAGCAAGCTTGTTAGTTACAATCCAAGCTTCAGGATGGAGGGCAGGCGGAGGGAGAGGCCTACTCCGAGTCTCCAGCGAGGTCGGCCCCGGGGAGCCAAAGGCCGTGGGCACAAACACCTAGCAAGCTGCGTTCCTCAGTCCCACCCAGAATTACCACCGAGGGGATCGTGGCCTTCCCTCTCCCTGTCTGTGAGGCTTTCTGGCAGTTCACTGCTCCCTGGGCACACACAGTCTGAATATTGGTGAGGAGAATAAAGAGGGAATACGGGTAACCTGCTTAATGCTTGTCAGCTTCTATGACTAATGGTCTGACTAACAGAACGCTTGGGGATAATCTGCGACTTCTGTTCAGCTGAGTTATCTTCCATTAACAAAGAAAATAGCGTTTGACAAAGGTCTGTGGAATAAAGTTGACATCGAGCTCTCTCAGAAATACAGGAACTATCAATCTGGTCTTTTTGGCTCAAGATTTCTCGAGTAAATTCTACCCCTTATCAAAAACCCAATGTATGCCGGGGAGCCAAACTGATCCCGATTTTACTTCAAAATGACTGCAAACAGTAAAGACAAAGAGTCAAAGTGGCACCACACTGTTTTATTTCAACCCTCAAACAGTCCGAGGAGATGACAGCTTCTGACGCCCCATGCAAGTAATAATAAAGGAAGAGAAACAATAACAAAAAGACAAGTACTTAAAAGTATTTCACATTTCACAGCAGTGCTTTGGCAGGACTGGCAAGTATTTCTGGCCAATTGCTTCCCACAACAGGGGTCTGAAGGAACCCCCAGGTCTTAGCAAAAGAACCACATTTTCTCCCTGACGGTTTACACTCTGAGTCACTCTACACCACACTGCTCCACTCGCCAGACTTCTGTAAACCTCACCTTAAAATATGTACCTAAGTATTGTACGTGATCACAACAAAAACTAAAGACAAGACAGCATGGTAGAAAAGTAAACTCTAATGTTTCCAGTAAGGCATCAGGGAATCACTGCTGGCTGGGCCCTTCATTTCACCAGTTTAAAGGAAAGTTTTGATTTACGTTTCTCAGCAAACCCAATATTCAGATGCTTAACCAGCAGGCTCAAGTTAAAAGTTTAAAAGACAGTTCCCTTATTTTTTTTTTTTTTTTTGGTAAATGTTTCATATAAAACATGAAATCAAGTTCTACTTTATTAAAAAAAACAGTATTTTTAATAGTAAAAATATATAGGTTTATATTTCTTTTTTTAAAAAGACATTAAATAACAATACTTCAGAAGACTAGATTTAACCCCCCAACCCCCACCCTGCCAGCTGTCTATCTGGCACAGAGACATTAAGGCAAAGGCTCCTGGAGAGGCATGTCCACCTCAGCTGTGGGCCGGGGGCTCAAGGTGAACACAGTTCGCTCCTGCACACGGTCAACAGAAAGGCTTCTCCCTCATGTTCACGGAGCCGTCCTGCATCCCGAAGTAGACTCTCTCAGCCATGTTAATGAAAAGGCCTGTGTCCACCACGCCTGCAGGATGAAGAATGAAAATAAGCATTAAGTTTCAGCTCCCCAAGGCATGAAGGGTCAAGGATAGTAGGGTCGGTAAGGGCAACCACCATTAGCAGCACTGGACAAATGACAGGTCTGAAGTCTTTCCTTCCCAGGACAATGAAAAGAGATTCTGATCATTTTTATTTCTTCTTACAATCCCTTTCTCCCCTGCCATCTTTGTCTACCCAAATGTGCCAACTTTTTACCTACCTCAGGGCCTCTGCTCATGCTATTCTGTTTGCTGAACCAGTCGTCTTTGAGCACTTCAAGGGAATGGTGCTTCTCTTGTCCTTCAGGCATCAGATGACAAGTCTTCTCTTCAGAGAGCCCCTCCATTGACTAAGTAACCTCCACTCCCACTTGTTATTTTTTTTAATTGCAGTATAGTTGACATACAATGCTAGGTTAGTTTTAGGTACACAATATAGTGACTCAACAATTCTGTACATTACACAACGCTCACCACAGTTAAGTGTAGTTTCCATCTGTCACCATATAAAGTTATTATAATATCATTCACTATATTTTCTACCCTGTATTTTTCATCCCTGTGCCTTCTTTATGTCATAACTGTTTAGACCTCTTAATCCCCTTCAGCTATTTTGCCTATTCCCCTATGCCTCGTCTCTGGCAACCATTGGTCTGTTTCTGCTTGTTTGTTTTCTGTTTGTTCATTTGTTTTATAGATCCTCCATGTAAGTGAAATATGGTATTTGTCTTTCTATGACTATTTCACTTCGTAGAATACCTTTAGGCTCATCCACATTGTTGCAAATGGCAAGATCGCTTTCTTTTTTATGGCTGAGTAACATTCTATTGCACATATACACCAAATCTTTATGCATTCATCTCTCAATGGACACTTAGGTTGCTCCCTATCTTGGCTACTGTAAATAATGCTGCAATAAACATGGGTGCATATATCTTTTCAAATTAGTGTTTTCATTTCCTTTGGATAAATACCCAGTAGTGGAATTACTGGATCATGTGATGCTTCTATTTTTAACTTGAGGAACCTCCATATTGTTTTCCATAACGGCTGCACCAATTCACATTCCTACCAGTAGAGCATGAGGGTTCCCTTTTCTCCACATCCTCGCCAACATCTGTGTTTTTTTAACATCTGTTATTTCTTATCTTTTTGATTCTAGCCATTCTGACAGGAGTAAAGCGATACCTCTTTGTGGTTTTGATCTGCATTTCCGTGATGATGAGTGATGCTGAGCATCTTTTCATGGTGATTGTTAGCCATCTGTGTGTCTTCTTTGGGAAAATGTCTAGTCAGATCTTCTGCCCCGTTTTAATCAGAGTGCTAGTTTTTTGTGTTGAGTTGTAAGAGTTCTTTATATATTTTGGATATTAACTCCTTACTGGATACATCATTTGCAAATATGTTCTCCCATCAAGTAAGCTGCCTTTTCATTTTGCTGATGGTTTCTTTCACTGTGCAAAAGCTTTTCATTTTGATGTAGTCCCAATAGTTTATTTTTGCTTCTCTTTCCCTTGCCTGGGGAGAAAGATCCAGAAAAAAATGTTGCTAAAGCCAATGTCCAAGAGACTACTGCCTATGTTTTCTTTTAGGAGTTTCATGGCTTCAGGCGTCCTTAACCCACTTTGAGTTTATTTTTGTGTACGGTATAAGAAAGTGATCCAGTTTCATTCTTTTGCATGTAGCCGCACAGTTTTCCCAACACCATTTACTGAAGACACGGTTTCTCCCATTGTATATTCTTGCCTCCTTTGTCGTAGGTTAATTGACCATAGACGCGTGGGTTTATTTCTAGACTTTCTATTCTGTTCCATTGATTGATGTGTCTATTTTTGTGGCAGTATCATACCGTTTTGATTACTACAGCTTTGTAGTATATAGCTTAAAATCTGGAATATCTTCAGCCTTGTTCTTTCTCAACACTGCTTTGCTATTTACATCCCAGTTATTTGCGATCACACTATCGGCCTTAGAAGTCTCCCCCAGAGTTCAAGAAGACATTTGCAATGCATATATCCAACAAAAGACCCGCATCAAAATACGTAGACAGTTCTCCCAATCAATAAGACAGACAACCTAGTAGAAAAACGGGCAAAAGACTTAACGAGGTACGTTACAAAAGAAGCTATATAAAATGGCCAGTGGACATAAAAAATGATGCTCAAACTAATTAGTGAAAAGAGAATGCAAATATTCACCAGAATGAAAATAATGAAATTTGACTAGAATGCAAAGACACTTCCACTCACTGACAGTGGGAGGAAATTGGCAAAATCATTTTGGAAAACACCTGTTAGTGCATCTTCTAAAGCTGAACGTATTCATACCTAACAATCTAGCAATTCTACTCCTAGGTATATATGCAATTGTTAGGCACACACATGGTCATCAAAAGACACGTATAAGAATGTTCACAGCAGCACTTTTTCTAATAGCCTAAAACCAGAAACACACGAATGCTCATCAAGAATAGAATCTCCAGACAAACACTTTTTTTCACACACAGAAATACGATGGAATACTATTCCGTGATGCGACATTTACCAAAAATATTTACATATATACATACATGCCACAATGAATAAAACTGTTCAACTATCAGGAAAATAAAGTTTGATGAACGAGTGTGTAGGGAAAATTGTTAGAAGGGTAAATTGGTGCAATCCATGGAGGGCAATTTGGCACCATCTGACAGGAAAACATGGAGGGAAAGAAGGAAGGGACTTTTCACTGTTTACTCTTGCAACGTTGAACAATGTAAAATAAAACGAATTTTAAAATTAAAACTTCGCAAGAAGTCCCCCAATACATAAAGAAACAAAATCATCTATCGGTGATGAAGAGCCATCAAGCAGAAGAAAAAGCTGCCGAAACCTAGAGGTCGCTGGCACGGCCCTGCACCAACACGATTGAAGCCTCCCAAAGGAAGCAAAGTGGCCACGTAAGACCCAACAATTCTGCAATACAAGGTGACAGCTTCCTCCTGAGCCAAGAGAAAGTCAAACCAGGTTCAGAAAAGGCTTCGAAGAAAGAGTAGAGAGGAAGGACAGGAGTTGGTCTGATCTCAGAGCACCTTTGCTCGGGTTACTGACCATGCCCCAGTGGCAGAGAGGGCAGAGGTGGCTCACTGTGAGCACAGGGGCAAGAACCCGTGAGCTTTGGCCCTTCTATAGAGCTCTGTGCTCTGGGTGGAACCCAATGGAACAGCCAACAGAGCGAGTGAGCAGCCAAGCACCAGTCCAGCTGTCCTCTGAGTGTCCCCTCTCACTCACTCTCTCTCTCTCTCTCTCTCACACACACACACACACACACACACACACACACACACACACACACACGGGCAAGGGCAGAGCGGTAGGGGCAGACAGGGAAACCTGCCCTCTTCCCTTCCCTGGCTTTTAGTCCAGCAGTAACAGACCAGATGAGGAAAAGGGGAGAGAATGGGAGGAGGCAACAAGCCACATCGATGCTTCTGGTGGCATCGTACTGAATAATTTAACATCTAGCCTCTCTTTCCTCATTTTCTTTGGTTTAAGTTTCTACTAAGATTCTGAACTTCTCCAGGCTGTAGCTTCTACTTAATGAGGCAGAAGGCAAATATCGGAGAAACGAACGACAGCTCCAGGTCTCAGTAAGCCAAGAAAGGTCTGAGCAGGAGCAACAGAGCTACCTAGTGGGCACTGCAAGAAATCCACCTGCAGGGGCACAAAGCTCACACTAGTGAGCGGCTTCCTATACCGCCCCCTGGGTCTATCTGCATTATCATCAGGGGCAAACGCTCCCATTTTAACTAACAGTGACTAGTGACCTCTACATCGTCTTTTCCTCTTGCTCTCTTGGCTCATTACTTCTTCCATTAAATGAGAACACTAAGTGAGAATAAGCGTAATTCAATTCATCTTTTGTGCTTAATAAATCTGCTTAAAGATAGTCAGTCTAAAACCACAGACTCCAGTAAGAATACTCGGCTCCTTATTACATGGCTTTTATTCACACCATTTTCATTCCCAAATAGCATGGATAACTTAAAATCTAGGATGTTTAATTAATGGTGACAATACTATCCTTTCTTCCTGGGGATTTATTCATTCAACAAACACTCCCTCCCTTATGTGCTAGGCACCATTTTAACTCATTTAATCCAACAATCTTTTGAAGTAGGCACTAATATTAGCTTCTTTTACAGAGGAAGAAATGAGTCACAGAGACGTTAACTAACTGCACAAAGGTCACACTGCCAGAGTGAGGCTGGGTTAGGAACCTGATCCAGGCAGCCTGCTCCTACAATCTGCTAAATTGACCTTACCTGCCCCATTAGCCAGTTCTGGCCCAAAAATATGCTATGCCATGAAATATTCCCAGTCAGAATCTTAGTCTCTCAATACCGTATGATTGGTATTTCTCACATCTGCTTCCTCCATCTGATCCCCTCGCCGGGGCCTTCAATACTCCTCTGGCCTGGGGACATGACTACCTTCTACACTGCCCACCCAGCCTTTCTTACCCGGGGCCCCAGATCCCTGCTACAAGCAGTAGAGGCTCTCCCACCCCAGTGTTCATGTCACAGATGCCCCTCCTCAACCTGGCACTTGAGGAAGTAAGGACTAAAGCTTCAGGGTCTAGAGGAAAACAACTCAGGGCTCCCCTCTTGGCACTGCAGCCCTTAGGCAAGTCGTTGAACTTTCCCTGATCCCTGTCCTCCTCTCTAACTATCTCAGCCAACTGGAGGGTTTGTAAACACTTCGTGCAGTGTCTAGATTACGCTAAGGCAGAGGTCAAAAGCCACCTCTCTCCCATGGGACTTTCCCACATTCTCCAAAGGAATCAACCCCTGTGCACTCTAGACTCCTGGTATTTCTCCAGCAAATGTAGCACATTCTATCTTATCCGTAGGCATGGCTTCTACACAGCCACACACCGCTTTCCAAACCAGGTATACATGAACTTTCCTTGAGAAAGAGTCATATTCTAGAAGTGGGAGCATTCCCTGTAACATGCAGCACAGCACCTGGCCTGTGGTATGTAATTAATGAGTATGGGTGAATGGTGTCATTTTTCCCCACTGCTTAAGAAGAGAGCCCACAACAAATCAGAGAGGCTACAGTTAAGCTTCTGGAAGGGAAGGCTCTATCCAGAGGGGGTGTGGTTATTTCAACCCCCCTCTGACACTCCATCAGCTCCAGGCCTATCCCAGTTGGAATGGGTTGTGAAATGCACAACCAACAAAGCTGCTAGGTAAGCAAGAACTGTTCCTGGGGGCAGCAAAGGTGTGAAGTCAGAAACTCCAAGCATGGTACAAAGGAAATTCTTTTCAACCAAGTCTTACAAAACCCCACACCATTCGTGCCTCCTATAGCCAGAGGTGGGGGACAGTCACGAAGTGCTTGGGTGTCTATGCTCGATAAACACCACTCATGTTACCTGGGATCATTTTGATAGCTGTGTTCACTTCACTCCATTTATGCACCCGATCAAACTTCCAATCCAGGATAAAATTTCCATTATCTGTCACGACGGGACCCTAGAAGGTAATTTTCCATATTTACCAAGGATATAGATATAGGTGGGCAGGTAAGTGAAGGTGATGCCCAAATACAAGTATCTTAATGAACCCACTCCAACCAGTACCCCCATCTCTTGCTTTCTAGAAGGCAGTGCCATGAAGAAGTAATGAGCAGGAGCTCTGGAATCAGAGCTGCAGAGGCATAGAGGAGGCTCAGAAGAGCCATCAACTTCTGTGAGCCTCAGATTCCTCAACTACAAAAAGGGGATAATGATACATACTTTATAAGGCAGCTTATGTATAAACCATATGGGTAAGCATTTACCGCAATGAGGGCTCACAGTAAGGGTTCAATAATTCTCAACTATTGTTAGAATGAAAAACTACAGCAACAGACTATCAACAGGATGCAACATTCTCACCGCTTCACATTAAGCGCCGGGTAATGCAAAATAAGGCAGTGCTATCGTACCCATGGCTTCCCCAAGCAGGCGCTCCCACCAAAACAGGAAGCAGAAATGGGTTCTGGGGTCAAAAAAACCCAGGGGATGTTCTGCATAGAACTTGTTTGTGTGACTCGTCATGCATTTCTGTCCAGAGCCGCACATACGTAATCGTGGGGGGCTTAGCTGGCTTGTGTTCTGTATCTGGCTTCTGGATCAGAATTGGCCCTTCTGTTCCTGATGCCAAGAGGGATTTATAAGCCTCCCATGCCTCCTGAAGCCAGACCTGGCTGGTCCCCTGGTGGATCTGGGAGGGAAGAGGAACAAACAAATGCCCAGGCTCCTAAGATTGTGAGATATGACAAGAGAAAAAAAACCCAGCTTGCTCAGAACTGCACTTAGACAAACTTAATGTGTAGATCACACATGGATGGTATTTCTACTGCCCTGGTGGCAATAGTTAGTTGGAAGCCTCACCCAAGAGGAGGACGCTCTGCCCAGGACCCTCAATCGGGACTCCAACCGGGCTGTTCACTGCGCTTCCCCAGCCAGAAGGCTGCATGTTGTGAGTACCCGATTTGATGTATTAACCTTTCTTTGTCCTTCTCTTCCTCTTTATGTTTACTATAATTACCTAATTCCATAAATTCCTTTTCCCTTATAATTAAATAAAACTTACCTCCATGAAAACAGAAAGTGCGGCTACCATGAATTACTATTATTCAGAACAGGGGGTCGTTTTAGTTACTTAATCTAAAATTCCTCCACAGCTTTGGAAACTAGAAGGCATTTGGGACCACAAATGTTGACAGAACCCTACAGTCACAGGCAAGGAAACTAGGCCTCCCTGTCGATGGAAGGAAGAGGGGTGGGAGTTCCGTGAGGAGCCCCCACGAAGGCAGGAGGCTGGGGCTCTTGTCTGGAGTGACGGCAGCCATGACAGAGGACCTCCAACAGTCTCCTCCAGGCTCTTCAGCTACAAAGGGAACCACGCTCAGAGCTCTGTACAACCACTAGGATTAGGGACTGATTTTTTTTTTTTTTTTGGTGGAGGGGGAGGGGACTGATTTTTAAAACATCACAAAAACACCAGGAAAAAAAACCACACCAATATAAAAATTCATCACAGAAGAGTCACAGAGAATTTGTTTTCTGTATCTTTCAAACTTGTTATACACTTATGTCAATAATCACAGTTCATTTTTTGGGCTATCACTTTTGCTTGTTCGGTTATTTAAGTGTAAGAGAAAAAAAAAGTTCTATGTAGCCCACTCTAAAAGCTGAAGAGAAACATTTTGGACTAAGTTTCTGAAGCATATTCCTAGAGAGGAGTTCATATCCCCCAAGAAACTCAACTTCTTGTCACATTTAATAACAGAACAAAGTAAGAGGAGAAAAAGAAAATGACACTATGAAACCTAAAATAACTTGCTGCCCGGTGTGGAGGGCTTCCCAAAGCCCATCTTTAGCCACTGTTAATCACGATGGTCCAGGCCACAGGTACAAAGGTCAGATCACCTGAGGATCGTCAGACCCCAAAGGACAGACAGAAAGAATCACTCCCCGACTTGTACAGGGGATATGCACCGCATTAAATGTAGTCTTCTCTACACGAGTTTGAATATAGAAACTGGTAAAGCCAGTACTCTAAAAATAAACCAATAACCTGATTAAAAATAGATAAATAAAAGCTGACTACCCAGGCTAGGCACAGAGGTCCTAACAGAAGCAAAAAGGACCCCACACTGAGAGCCTGGAATGCCCTTGAGAAACCTCCCTGGCCACTTACTGCCTTGTTGACAGCCATCCGAAGTTCAATCACGCCCCCAAACTTCTGGGTCACAGCTCGGCTCACTGGGACATAGGCCATTGGGATGACCTCAATGGGGATTCCCTTGTGCCACTGATCCCCAAGGTTCTTTGAATCTTTTCTGAAAAGAAAGTCAAAAAGTACAATAAATATAAATAAGCTCAATGACACAGATAAAAACCGAATTCAGACACAATGAGAGGACGAGAGAGGTCAGCAGAGGCAAGAACACAGGGCTTCAAATATATTAGCTATATTTTACTATTTAAAAAATGAGGTATTTGAAGTAAATATGACAAAAATGTTAAAAGTGGTTATGACTGGCTTGTGACTATTACACAGGTATTTATTACTTATATTCTTTCTACAACTATAATATCTTGTAAGTACATACAATTTTCTTGTTAATTAACATGCTCAGCATAAGCGCCTTCTATCAGATTCCTTGAAGGAGAATCTGAGAGCCTGGTCAAAGGCGATGCACAACACAAGTCACGTGTGAGCCCAGAGGAAGCAGGGCGTGCTGAGTCACTGCCCATGGGCAGGGCCTGTCCTTCCTCTGAGGCTCCCTGCAAGGATCAAATGAGTAGTACATGAGGACGTGCTCCTGTCACAAGAGTGACAAGTGGTTAAGCTGTTTCCCCCTCCTTCCAACGCACACATAACACAGCAGTATCTACCTTCAGCATGAAAACAAAACAAAATCCAAGACACGGCCCTAAGTCCTAGTCATCAAGTCTCAGAAAGTCACACAGTCCTTCCAGTTCTCTGTTTGCTCCTCCATAAAATGGGGATGAGGCCTGGGGTCTGATCTACCTCCTCAGTGGACAGCTCAGAACACTGAACAATGTACCTGAAGTCGGCAATCACGATGAAGCGACTGGCATAGCCAGCCACAATTTTCTCCTGGGTCAGGCAGCCTCTGGGGATGGGAAGAGGCAAATGAACACAAGGTAGGACACAAACTCAATTTGAAAACTAATGTCAGATACAACAAACCCAAATCCACTTAATGAGAAACTTAATTTTCGATTCTTAAAGGAAGATCCCCAACTCCATCATGCTGTGCAACGAACTGAACTGTGTCCCCCTCAAATTTCATATATTGAAGCCCTAAATCCCGATGTGTACTTGGAAGGTGGGGCCTCTAAGGAAGTAATTATGGCTAAATGTGGTCATAAAGGTGGGGCCCTGGGTCTGACAGGATTAGTGTCCTTGTAAGAGACACCAGAGAGCTCACTTGTTCTCTCTCCACCCTGTGAGGGCACTATGACAAGGCAGCCAACAACATGCCAGAGTCTCCAGAACTGTCGAAAGATGTCTGTTGTTGAAGCCACCCAGTCTATGGCATTTTGTTAAGGCAGCCCGAGCTCAGAAATGCACTATGAAAACACAAGCCTGTCTGTGTCTGGGAGAAATGGTTCCCACTCAGGCCAGGCACAATCCCATCTAAGATGCATCTGTGCTCAGGGAAAAGTCATCTGAATCTGAGCATGGCATGAATGGAAGGGTCTATAACTTGAGAAGGACAAGCTTTGAACAACCTGTCTTGTCCACTATCTGCCATTTGGGAGTGATGAAGCAGAGCGAGCACGGTGAAATATTAAACATATTCTGTGTCACCCCACAGTCTGCTTGATTATAAGAACTGGCAGAACAGGCCTTCACCTTCTTCAACTCACCATTTCCTTCCCTCCAAATCAACACTGAAGAAACACCCAGGGGTGCCTGGGTGGCTCAGTCAGTTGAGCGTCTGACTTTGGCTAAGGTCATGATCTCAAGGTTGGTGGGTTCAAGACCCATGTTGGGCTCTCTGCTGTCACCACAGAGCCCACTTCAGATCCTCTGTCCCCCTCTCTGACCCTCCCCCACTAGTGCTCGTTCACGCACTCTCTCAAAATAATCTTAAAAAACAAACAATACAAAACAAAAAAACACCCAAGAAATGCTTTCCAAATGAATGAATAAATATATAACCAAGCACTCACAGAGCTTAAGAGAAGCTTTAAAACAAAGATCACACACTCCCCTGCCCACAGCCCTAATAATCTAGCCCCAACAATATATTTGGCTTAATTTGTACAGTTTTTAAAATCTGAATCAGCAGAAGAATGTAGATACAGAGAATCCATTAAGATGAATAACCTCACCAAAGAGGCCCAGGTTCCTAGTCACCAGACTGCTACTCACGACTAGAAATGCCAAGCCGGCTCTACAGCCAAATGCCATCAACTTCCTAGTACGAAGACAAGCTGGCATACATTACAGTGGCAATTTGTTTATTCTGTCCTCCAATTTGCTTTGCTTTGCTAAGGATGAACTGGGAGGTACTCTTCAGCAAGAAAGTGCCCACAACACTTACCCACCGCCCTTGATGAGATTGAGATCAGCATCTACCTCGTCAGCACCATCAATTGCGAGGTCGATCTGCATTGGGGGAAGGAAGGAAAGACAAAGAAACTACTAAAAGCCTTGGGAGGTAAGGCTCTGTGCAAAGCTTGGACATGGAATAGCTCATCCGATCTTTAGCAGCCCTATTAGCTACTTTTAGTTGTTCCCATTTAACCAGTCAAGAAACTGAGGCTCTGAGAGGTTAAGCTAGTCCACTAGGGTCACCAGGAAACAAACAGGAGGCCTGGAAACCACACTGGGTCCCGCTTTTACCCATGACATTTCACTGCCTTTTCTTATTGATGGGCTTCTCTGTGGATGAGCTAGAATTATTTGAGAGCACACAACCCCAACATGGGTGACATCACCCCCAAGTAGAAAAAAAGATACACAGTACATCTGTGGCATTAAAATTTCATGGGGGGGGGGGGGGGCGGGGGGGCTCAGTCGGTTAAGCATCCAACTTTGGCTCAGGTCATGATCCTGGGGTTCATGGGTTCGAGCCCCCATGTTGGGCTCTGTGCTGACAGCTCATAGCCTGGAGCCTGCTTCGGATTGTGTTTCCCTCTCTCTGCCCCTCCCCTGGCTCGCACTCTGTCTCTCTCTCAAAAATAAATAAAACATCTTCAAAGAAACTTAAAACTTCACTGGAGGGGGCAGCAGAAAAAAGGCTGAGAAACGCTGACTCAGAAGTCTCCATACTAGTGTGACAAAAAGAAAGACAGTTTCAAACAGACACAGAAAACCCAACGTATAGTTTTAAAGCTGACACACATTGGACATGATCCGCAACTGGACACTACCTGAGGCACCCCCACTGTGACCCCCCCCAAAGCAACTGTCAGGGCTTGTCCACTGCCACCATTAGGAAACTCCACCACCAACCCCAAGAGCAGTCAGGGGCAAAATGGGTTCATTTATCTTTTGAAATGTAAAATCAAGGAAGCTATGCACTTCTCTTCACTACTGACCTCCGCATGAACAAGGTGGGAGTGTTAAGCATGGTTATTTAAAAGACCAGTACAAAAAACCCTCAGGGTACAAATCAGTTCAAGTTGCTTGGCCTGGCACAGGCGGAGAGCCTACAGAGCTTCAGCGGCACCGTGCTTCCACCCGTTCACAGATCCTGCCCTTGGTCTGAAGAGACAGCCTGCACCGCTTCTCCCTGCCCCGCGCGGATCCGAGGGCCAGGCCACGCCAGGGCGACTCTCTGGGGCCTGGAAGGCCGCAGCCTTCTTTGCAGGAGCCGCAGGCCCGCCTTCGGCCCACACGGCTCTCCTCACAGTGTGGAACGCGAATTCACACGGTGCCCCGCTCTGCCCACAGAAATCCCCCAACAAGCCCTTCCCATGGTTCCTACTAAGCCCTCGGAGGCCCACAGGTACCAGGACGACACAGGTTAGTAGACCATCGAGCCCCACTCTGCAGTTTGGTTTGCGAGCTGCCATAACCCCCCTCCCCACTCTCCCGATCCAACCGCTTCCACTGTGCGCCAACGTATTCTACTCACTCAGTCCCTGCCACCCCAGCCAGCCTGGGCACTGTCCATGTATGCCACGGGCCGGCCTGGAGTTGCTCCCGTGGCTCCCATCTACTCCTCTCTGGAACGCCGTCTCCTGCCCTGGCCACCTCGCCTTCAAGCTCTGCTCAAACTTTACCTCTCCCCACAAAACCCTTCTAAGGAGCACTGCTCCAGAGCCAGAAGCATCCGAATTCACATTCAAGCTCTCTACCAGTTACAAAAGGTGTGGCTCTGGCAAATGGCTTGTCCTCTGTGTCTTTTTCACATCCGTAAAATGGGATAATGATGGTATGCACCCTCAAGACTACTGGAGGTTAAGTAGTTTAATATCGGCATAGCGCTTAGCACCATACCTGGCGCACAGGCAGGGCTCAGTAAATGCTAACTGTGAGTATGCTGCTCACTCTCATCAACTCAGTCTCCTCTGTGTTTAACCACCTTTGCTGTAACATAACACCTAACTGTAATCTGTTTTCAAATGTCCGTGGCTGCCTCAGAAGATTACTTCTTATCTCCACTTAGTGGTAAGCTTCACGGGCTCTTACACTTCTGTACTAGGACCACAGGAAGCCCTGGATCCACCCAGGGTTTGTCCAGTACCCCCTCACCACACTCATACTGAGCCCTCAGGGTTAACCACAGGGAATGTACTGGAAACTAACAACCTCTCCTCTAGTGACCTCAGCCAGATTTAACATTCAAATTCCCAGGAGAAAATCTAGCATGACTCACTGACCTTTCTCCAAGACTCAACAAGATATTGAGTCCATGAACAAGGGACAGCCTTAAAAAAGGAGACCGAAAGACAAAGCAAAGCAGCCCAACTCTCTTACCTCTGGGTGTCGGTCCAGGTCACTGAGAGTTAAGCCATACTGCAAGATGAGCTGACGGGCCTATGGAGGACAAGAAAAAGCACCCACAGTCATTTACTCTGAGCACGTGGCAAAGATTGTCAGGATTCTTTTGGATTTAAGTGTCAGACACGGAGTCCCAACCAAGGCTCTCTCCCAAACCCAACTGTGCCCACTAAGAGTAGGAAACACAGCTTTATGAATGGCAAAACTAAGTTAATTCGTCCCGGGAGCCAGAAGAAGGCAAAAAGCATACAGTGAAGATCGCCAGTGCCAGGCTAAGAGTTCCTCCTCCGTGATCTGCTATTTAAGACAATGCCATGGGGGCACCTGGTGGCTGGGTTGGTCGAGCATCCAACTCTTGATTTCGGCTCAGGTCACGATCCCAGTGTCATGGGCTCAAGCCCCACATGTGGCTCCACGCTGAGTGTGGACACTGCTAAGATTCTCCCTCTCTCTCCTTCCCTCCCACCCTCTCTCTCTCTCTCTCTCCACCCCTCCACCCCCTACCCCACTCACACTCTAAAACATAAAGAAGTTTAAAAAAAGACAATGCCATGGACTCCTAAAGCTTATGGTAATACAGTATTAAAAAAAAAAACAAAAGGGGCGCCTGGGTGGCGCAGTCGGTTAAGCGTCCGACTTCAGCCAGGTCACGATCTCGCGGTCCGTGAGTTCGAGCCCCGCGTCAGGCTCTGGGCTGATGGCTCGGAGCCTGGAGCCTGTTTCCGATTCTGTGTCTCCCTCTCTCTCTGCCCCTCCCCCGTTCATGCTCTGTCTCTCTCTGTCCCAAAAAATAAAATTAAAAAAAACGTTGAAAAAAAAAATTTAAAAAAACAAAACAAAACAAAAAAAAACTTCCGAAAAAAGGAACTGAATGGATAGAGTGATTTCCAGGCTATAATGTTGAATAAAAATAAGCAAAAGGGGTGTCTGGGCATCTCAGTCAGTTAAGCACTCGACTCTTGATTTCAGCTCAGGTCATGATCTCACACAGTTACTGCGATCAAGCCCCATGTCAGTCTCTGCGCTCACAGCTCAGAGCCCGCTTGGGATTCTCTCTCTCTGCTCCACACCCACTTGCATGTACATGTGTCTGCTCTCTCTCAAAATAAATAAACTTAAAAAAATGTTTAAAACTAAAAAATAAGCCAAAGAATATATCCACTCCGCAGAGTGTATTAAAGGCAGGATGACCAGAATGGCTAAGTGAAGAGCTCAGCAAATGGAGAACACCACACTGGGAAAGACCTGGGATTTACTTTATAGACGTGCCTCATAATAACCTTTCAAAGAGGCTGACCAAAAACAAGAGAGCAGTGATTACTGCTACCACATGGCCCTGAGTGGGATTTATAGCTGGAATAAATACACCTTGAATCTTCAAGTATGACCACCCAAATCCAAGTGATAAGGATCTGTATTCATGTCATTGCTTACCATAAGCAGAGGGACCAAAGGATAAAAAAAACTTTCTCCCAAAGGCATGTCTTGAAAATATTTTGTTTAAAATGAAAAGCACCTGAGATTAAGAATCAGAAGGTCTTAACTCTAATCTTAAATGAACCAGCCACATGACCCTTGACAAGTTTTCTTGGGATGGATGAAATGACCAATGTCAATCTTCAAATCCAAAATCCTAAGAGTCAAACCAAAAAGATCCTGGAATTTGCAATATATGGGCCTTGTTGGGATCCTAATCAAACAAACTATAAAAAAATATTTTTAAACAATAAGATAAACAAGGGGAAATTTAAACCCTGAACCCATGGTTCATGGGATCGAGCCCTACACTGGGTTCTATGCTGACAGCATGGAGCCTGCTTAGGATTGTTTCTTTCCCTTTCTCTCTGCCCCTGTTCTGCCTGCACGCACACATGCAACTCTCTCTCTCAAAAATAAACTTAAAAAAATAGCCAAGGTAGAGGAGAATGGGGTACAGATAAAAAAAATTGGCCATGAATTGGTGATTACTAAAACTGGATGATGGGCACATGAAAGTTCATTATGTGGTTCTTTATCCTTTTTGAGGTATGAAAATTTCCATATAAAAAGCTAAAATAAAACACTGACTGAAAGTAGCAAATTCAAAACAAAAATAACTCCATGATTCTGGGGAGCCTGGGTGGCTCAGTCGGTTAAATGTCTGACTCTTAATTTCAGCCCTGGTCAATCTCCTGAGCCCAGCATCGATTCTTGGGATTCTCTCTCTCTCTCTCTCTCTCTCTCTCTCTCTCTCTCTCCCCCCTTCTCTGCCCCTCCCCTGATCTCTCTTGCTCTGTATCTCAAAATAAATACATAATGAAGGGAGAATACAATAAACATGGTATCGCAGAATTATTCCTCAGTTCCTAGATTTCTCCAAAAGTAGCGCTGAGAAACCATTCTAATTCCAGACCCTAAAGCTATAAGAACAAGGGGGAAATCTGGAAGGTAGCCTCTGAGATGACCATCCCACCTCTTGGTCTTCATGCCTTTGGATAATCCCTGCCCACAGAGTCCCAGGGTTGGTCTGCGGGACCAATGGCACACAGCAGAAGCAATGCAGATACTTCTGAGATTGGTTTATAAAGAATGCCGGGGAGTAGGTAAGGGTGGCATGCTCTAGCAAGATCTCTCCCTCCTCCCTCTGCCCCCTCTCTTATCACACACAGCAGGGGAAAAGGTTGCCATGTCCTGGAGACACTAACAGAGCCTCTCCGAAACAGCCTGTGAAGAATGAAGGCCTGCAACACCCACATGACTGAGCCTGGAACCACAGCTGAGTCTTGAGATGACCGCAGCCCTGGCCAACAGCTTAACTGTAACCTCATGAGAGACCGAAGCCAGAACCGCCTAGCTAAACCACTGCGGATTCCTGACCTTTGGCGACTACGAGATAATAAATGTTTGCTGTTGAGTTGCTAAATTTGGGAGTAATTGGTTCCATAGCAACAGATATTGAATACAGATGGTGTTAGAAAAATGATACAAACTGCACAGAGTTCAATGTGATAGTCTACCATGCAAATAAAACTGTGTGATGTACTATGATTTCCTATTAATCTTATGTACTTTAGAAATACTAAACTGCATTCAGATATATAACATAAAAAAACTGGATGTGAGGAAACTGGTCTACCAGGATTCCTAAGGAAAAAGTCCTATACAAATATATCATTTTAATTCACCATTTCCTAAGCTCAAAGACTGCTTGCACCACTGGACAGTGCAAATGTTCCATGAGGATGTCTTCTTTGTCCATCTAGATTATAATCAGAGTATGAGAGAGCACATTTTACATACTCTTGCCACCCTACAGCAGTTAGCATCATTTGAGCCAATAGTTGGGTAAATAAGCAATCATTCTGAGTTCATTCTAGGAATTACCTAGCGCAAACCCCTGTTTTAAGGAAGAAATGGATGCCCAGAGAGGTCACAGTGTAAGTTAGGGACAGAGTGAAGACCAGAAATAGTCTCCTGCCTTCCTCTCTTACCTAGGGACTAAGAAGGGAGTCAGAAGGAAAGGAAAACAGAGAGAATGGTAAAAGAACAAGAAGCAGAGAGGACAGGCCCATTTATAAACGGAATTGAAGTCATCTTATATAATAACATGCTATTAACGATAACAATTTTAAAAGGAGTTCTTTGAGGTCTTGGCATTCCTCCTCTACCTTCTCCCAAACTCCTGCCCCACGTGACCAACTCAAATGTCATCCTTCCCAGGAAGCCCTCCCCAATTCCCTGGGCAAGGAGTAGGCTCTCCTTCCTCTAAAAGGCACATTATCTCTACTTCTCTACCATTTAATTACAAATAATGACCCACGTAAATGTAGCATTAATTCATCCAACAAACACGTACAGAGTGCCTAAAAGCCAGGCACCACACTGGGCACTGGAGATGATGATTAACACCTCCCACGCATAGGAGCCTCACATCCCTATGATACTAAGCATATCCTCAGTGATCACCATGTCCAACTGAATTCTGTCTCCCCACCACCACCAGCAGCCATCCATCCCAGTTCCCATCCAAAGTCCAGCACGTGATGATGCCTAGGGGCATGGGTACCCCAGTGTGTATAGCAGCGCTCTCAATAGCTAAATTATGGAAAGAGCCTAAATGTCCATCAACTGATGAATGGATAAAGAAGATGTGGTTTATATATACAATGGAATACTACTTGGCAATGAGAAAGAATGAAATCATGTCATTTGCAGCAACGTGGATGGAACTGGAGGGTATCATGCTGAGTGAAATAAGTCAGTCAGAGAAGGACAGAGATCACTGTTTTCCCTCATATGTGGATCTTGAGAAACTTAACAGAAGAGCATGAGGGAGGGGACGAGGAAAAAATAGTTACAAACAGAGAGGGAGGGAGGCAAACCACAAGAGACTCTTAAATACAGAGAACAAACTGAGGGTGGATGGGGGGGTAGGGGAGAGGGGAAAATGGGTGATGGGCATTGAGGAGGACATCTGTTGGGATATGCACTGGGTGTTGTAGGTAAGCCTATTTGACAATAAATTATATTCATAAAAAATAAATAAATAATAAATAAACAAATAGTCCAGCACATGAAAGGAGCCCCATGAGTAAGTGTATGGCTGGGAGGCCCCGCCTCAACTTCTGCAAGCCCTGGGACCCTCATCTTCCCAGACAATAAGCAATAATACAAGGACAGGATCTGCCCTAGCTTTATTTTTATTTATTTTTTCAATATATGAAATTTATTGTCAAATTGGTTTCCATACAATACCCAGTGCTCATCCCAAAAGGTACCCTCCTCAATAGCCATCACCCACCCTCCCCTCCCTCCCACCCCCCATCAACCCTCAGTTTGTTCTCAGTTTTTAAGAGTCTCTTATGCTTTGGCTCTCTTCCACTCTAACCTCTTTTTTTTTTTTCCCCTTCCCCTCCCCCATGGGTTTCTGTTAAGTTTCTCAGGATCCACATAAGAGTGAAACCATATGGTATCTTTCTTTCTCTGTATGACTTATTTCACTTAGCATCACACTCTCCAGTTCCATCCACGTTGCTACAAAGGGCCATATTTCATTCTTTCTCATTGCCATGTAGTACTCCATTGTGTATATAAACCACAATTTCTTTATCCATTCATCAGTTGATGGACATTTCAGCTCTTTCCACAATTTGGCTATTGTTGAGAGTGCTGCTAGAAACATTGGGGTACAAGTGCCCCTATGCATCAGTACTCCTGTATCCCTTGGGTAAATTCCTAGCAGTGCTATCGCTGGGTCATAGGGTAGGTCTATTTTTAATTTTTTGAGAACCTCCACACTGTTTTCCAGAGTGGCTGCACCAATCTGCATTCCCACCAACAGTGCAAGAGGGTTCCCATTTCTCCACATCCTCTCCAGCATCTATAATCTCCTGATTTGTTCATTTTGGCCACTCTGACTGGCGTGAGGTGACATCTGAGTGTGGTTTTGATTTGTATTTCCCTGATGAGGAGCGACGTTGAGCATCTTTTCATGTGCCTGTTGGCCAGGATCTGCCCTAGCTTTAAACAGTCCGATGGGGCGCCTGGGTGGCGCAGTCGGTTAAGCGTCCGACTTCAGCCAGGTCACGATCTCGCAGTCCGTGAGTTCGAGCCCCGCGTCGGGCTCTGGGCTGATGGCTCGGAGCCTGGAGCCTGTTTCCGACTCTGTGTCTCCCTCTCTCTCTGCCCCTCCCCCGTTCATGCTCTGTCTCTCTCTGTCCCAAAAGTAAATAAAAAAACGTTGAAAAAAAAAATTAAAAAATAAATAAATAAATAAAATAAACAGTCCGTACCCCTGTCCACAACATGGAGAACTCTGTACACTGACCTCAAGAACCATAGGGGTAGGACCTGCTCCCATCTGCAAGTCCTACAACTCTCCCTTCTCCCCATCTTTGACTGAACTCCACACGGGTCCCCTGTGAGTGTGGCCCTGCATACACAGGGAAATCAGAGTCACAAACAACACGAGCTTCCCACACTCATTAACATGAGTTATGGGACAAACTGCGTTCCCCTGGAAAAAAAAAAAAAAAAAAACAGGTTGGAGTCCTAACCCCCAGTACTTCAGATTGTGACCTTATTCGGACATAGGGTCTTCACAGATGTAATCAGGTTAAAACAAAGTCATCAGGCTGAGCCTGGGTGGCACAGTCAGTCAAACGTCCGACTTTGGCTCAGGTCATGATCTCATAGCTCGTGGGTTCAAGCCCGGCATCGGGATCCATGCTGACAGCTCAGAACCCGGAGCCTGCTTCAAATTCTGTGTCTCCTTCTCTCTCTCCCCCTCTTCCCCACCCCTCTCAAAAATAAATAAACTTTTTTTTTTTTAAGAAGGGTTAGAAAAGACAAAACTAAAAAGATAATAGGACAAAACAGGCCACGAGCACCAAGAATAAGACAAACATCCTAGAAAGAAAAAACACAGAAAACAGAGGCAAGAAAATTAAAGGAATGATAGAAAAAAAAACTCCCCCAAATTAAAGAGTATGAGTTTGCAGAATGAAATGTCCCAGCAAGTGCCCAGAAGAATAGATGAAAACGAACCCCACACTAAGACACAGTATGGTGAAATGTCAGAACACTGGACACAAGGAAAAGATAATATCAGGGTATAAGGGTTCAGAGAGTGTAAAAAACCGGTTTCATACAAAGGATCAAGAATCAGAATGGCATCAAACTCCTTTCTCAACAAATGGAAAATGACACAATAGAGAAATGCCTTCAAACTTCCTCAGAAAAGATCTAGTATATAATTCTCTAAGTCAAATAACCAACTTCAAGAAAGCCTAGAATAAAGACATTTTCAGGGGCCCCCGGGTTGAGCATCCCATCCCTCTCTCGATTTCAGCTCAGATCACTGTCCCAGGGTCACAGGATTAAGCCCCGCATCTGGCTCCGTGCTGTGTGTGGAGCCTGCTTAATATTCTCTGTCTCTCTCTCTAAAAAAGTAAAATAAAAATTAAAACAACAAAAATTTTTAAAGACGTTTTCAGACATCCAAAGTTGTCAACAACTTGGCATCCCACACACTTAGACAGCTTCCTAAAGGATATACTTCACCAAAACCGAAGGAAACAAAAGAGGTGGAGCAGAGGGAGAAATGAGGGGAAACAGGACCAAGAAACAGGGCAATCCAAAAGGGGAGAAGAGAAGGAAGGTTCCTGACTGCAAAGCTATGTAACACGTCACCAACCCCGAAGACCCAGAGACTCGGCCAAGACGAGATGGATGGAGCGGAATACCCAGAAAGAAGTGAGATTTTCCCATCTGGGTAAGAGCTTGGGCCCGAGTTAGTAAAGTGTACATAGATAACCAAGCAAATGAAAAAAGCAAAGGCAACATTTACTTCACTTGCAGGAAAACAAAGTAGCAAGGAGGTTAAGGAGGAATAATCACAGCACAGGACACAGTTCAGCTGTAGTTTGGACAATCACAACTCTGGAAACACTGAGTAATGCTGCACCAAAATGTAACTGTACTGGAGGATTAGGAGAGAAAGCTGCCTGCGAACTGGGGAGCAAGGAGATTAAAAAACCAGCAAACACCCACTTCCATTCATCCATTCCGTGGAGAATTATTACACAAAGTTGAAAAAAAATTTTAAATAGCAAGAAAAGCATGTCGTTTCCAGATACTAGAGCAAATACCCAACCAGCTAAGAGTTTTAAAACTCTGCATATACTACACTTTGCTGCCACAGGATACACTCAAATATTCAGAGTGAGTACGTGAATGTGTCTAAGGCCACACTTCTAAGGAGCAATCCTCAGAAAATAAACTCCTCTCCTGCTCCTGGCTCCCCCACCTATACAGCAACCCTGGTACACAACCCAAAGCCACACCTCCATGTCCTCAGGACCCAGAAATTCAGCAGCCAAGTGCCAAGATGCAGAATGGAAAGCAGGACATACCTGAAAGGAGGTGGGAATGCAGACAAGGTTCAGATTCTCTTGTTTCACTCTTTCAGCTGTGGAGACAAAAGCCATGTTGGTGGTTTTTCACTCTCCTCACTTTATTTTTCTTGTCAGGTGCACATCTGCTCAGATCCAACAGAAAAGGAAAGGTCTATTCCCCCACTGACAGCCGCCTTTCATTCTGTGTTCCCAGCCTTGGTGAGAAAGTTTGTGAACACACATCGCACACACAAGACAGGGACAGGAGTAAATACTAACTACGAATAGAGCCATGTCAGGTGTTTGCTACTACTACGTACCTGGCAATATTCAAAGACTTTTTGTACATGTGAAATCTTTTCATCCTAACAACCCAAAGGTAAGCTGCAATTATTATTCCCACTTTACAGATGAAGAAACGGAGGCACAGAGAGGTAAAGTCACTGGGTAGTTTTATCACTAACAGGTGGCAGAGCTGATATCCCATGCAGTCCAGCTAGCTCCAGTCTTAACTACTTCCTTATATTGCCTCTCACAGAAAAAAGAGAACTTTACACGCATAAAACATATAATCATTTATAGGCCACCAGAGGGCAGTTAAACCAGGGTTTAGTTATTCTTTTTGGATTTGTGCATTTCGGTGAGGGGGGGGGATCTTAAGAAAAAACTACCTTATTAAAAGCTCCAATCTTTTGACTCATTGGGTCTGCATCATAGGAGGTTCAGAAGCCACTATTATGAAATGCACAGTAATTCCTTTGCCCTGCAATCCTCCACACACTCAATGGTAAGGTAGAAAGGTATGTAACACAAAAGCCCGTGTTAAGGCAATAAGGATTCCAGAAGCCATCACACCAGCACCACAGCCACTCTTTTAAAGACAAAGTGCTGGGGCGCCTGGGTGGCGCAGTCGGTTAAGCGTCCGACTTCAGCCAGGTCACCATCTCGTGGTCCGTGAGTTCGAGCCCCGTGTCAGGCTCTGGGCTGATGGCTCAGAACCTGGAGCCGGTTTCCGATTCTGTGTCTCCCTCTCTCTCTGCCCCTCCCCCGTTCATGCTCTGTCTCTCTCTGTCCCAAAAATAAATAAATGTTGAAAAAAAAAAAATTTAAAGACAAAGTGTTCCTGGACTTTGTCTCCTGAGCACTGCCCCCGCCTTGGCACCTAGAAGAAACAATCAGCATTCAGGCAAGTCTCTCCTCGGCTTTGTTTTAACAAACAAAAGCAGGGCAGTAAAACCTGTTGAGCAGCCACAGGGGCTGATAATTCCAGAGCCTTTCCTAAGCTCAGAGACACCCTAATCAGTAAGCCAGTACCTGCAGGAAGGAGCCACCAACTCTGGGTGCCTCATATCCACTCCAGGGTCACGGACAGGCGAGCCTGTTCTGAGCTCAGTTTGTCCACCTGAAATTAACTGAGGGACCCAAAGGCTTTAGAAGCCTTGCTTCAAGGCCCCAGGGGCCACACACAGGACCACTGACGAGGATTAAAATTCTGTTGAGATCTCCTCCTAAATCAGCTCCTACCCTCCACATGAGCAAAGTAAACAAAGCCAGGGCATCCCCCAAAGTTGGCTGAAGAGGCCCAAGAATACCTCTCAGAAGAGCAGAGCTGGGCAGGTGCCAATGCTGTGCCCCCTCCATCCCCCTCTTCCACATCCTCATCCCTGTGGCCCCCACAAAACATCCAGACAGCCCAAGAGCATACCTATTCGCTGTACAGCATGAACGATTGTAGAGCCACTTCCAATTCCCAGCACTTGGTTATTCTGCCAAAAAAAGGAGAGGAAAAACAAAAACTCATTAATACCATATGTGACGCCCTCTTTAGCCCACTTCCTAGATCAAGGTGCTGTGCCCATTTGACAGCAACATAAGCACTGAACAGAACCAACTGAGAGTACTTTAGCCTAGTGCCCATGGCAGTTTATCAACAGCTCCTTCTACTCTCATCTGACACTAACATCACCATTTCCTCCTGTTAAAAAGGTAAACTGAGGCACATTAAAAATTTTAAGAATTTATTTGAGCAAGTCAGGCCGCATTCAATCTGGCAGACAGAAAGGGGCTCCGAGGAGCTACACGAAATGAAAGACTTTTACAGCCAGAAGGAAGTGTGAACAAGGAAGTCACAGCAGGCAAAACAGCAGACTGGTTATTGCCAGGTTACTTTTCCTTAGGGGACAGTAAGGGCCACTCAGGCAGATTACCTAACTAGTGCCCATCAGACAATTCCTGATGGACTAACAGAACATTCCATTTCTGGGAGGGTTGAAAATGTAATTAAATCTTCTTTTGGTGATACAGGCTTAACACAAGTGACTTAATTCGGGGCCTGTTGTCTTGCTCATTGATGAGGGAACATGGGGTAAGCTGAGGGCAAAATACAGGCTGGCACCGCCACCACCCCCCGCCCCCCAGGGTGGAAATATGTGTGATATTCCCTGGACACTGCTGGCTACCCAAGAACAAAGGAAAGGGGTTTAAGTGCTTGCCATGGTGATGTGGGAAACTAAGGCAAATGAAAAATTAAACTCCCTTACTGCCTACAGTCCATTGACAAGTCCTTGAAACTGGCAGAGTAAACCCCCTCTAGGAGCTCAACTGTCTCCATGATGGCACTTTGCTAGGAACAAAAGAGAACCTTGGCTGAACATTGTCCCAACCTTCAGGAACCTGTAAGTCTACTTCCTTAATCTCAAGCACCCCAAGATATACGCTGGCAATCATACTCTGAACTTATTGCCTACCGATATACATCTGAAAGGTCTCATGACTGAGGTTTTACGAAATAGTAAAAAATGGCATTTCCCTAGCTAACAGGTAGCCTCTCAAGGTCCTGGAAACCTTGCTTCCAAAATCCCTTAGAGACTTCTATATCCCTATGTATATATATACATACACATACGCACACACACATATATGTATACACACACACACACACACACACACACACACACATATACACATACATAGTGAGTAACCTGTCATGACCCCAGTGCAGCTCTTCCTGTCCATAGGGTCCTGTCCCCGTGCCTTAATAAAATCACCTTTTTGCTCCAAAGACCTCTTCAAGAATTCTTTCTTGGCCATCGGCTACGGACCATCCCACCATCACCCCAAAACTTCATCATTTACAGCCAAAAAATTTTCACTCTGGGCTTCCCCTTGCACAATGAGTTGTTAATCAGTTGCTGGAACTCTAAGAAATTTGACACAAAATATTTCAGCATACTGAACTTCCTGAAGTTGCTTATTCAAAGTAAGGTTATGTAGGAGGTAACTGATATTGTGAAAAGATTATTAAAAAAAAAAAAAAGAAAATCACGAGACTTATGTCAATATAAAATGAATAGGTCATAGATTTCATTTAGCTCATTAAATTAATGAGTGAATGGGAAAAGATGTTACAACCTGTCCACAGGAAAAACCCTAGAACCGAAATTCATATGCAGTCAAGAAATGTTGAAATGAATTTACAAGAGTCTTAGGATAATAATCAGTTGACTCTCATAAAATTTGCATTTCTATGAACAAAAATTACATGCATTAAGAGCGTTCTACAAGTTAAAGGTCTCTCCACAGAGTTGTAAACGGCCTAGTGGAAGGCCATTCCAAAGAAAGGATATTTAGTAATGTCTTTTGCTCGTTTCCTTAAATTTTGCCTTATGGTGTTAAATTCTTCCCTAAAGTGGAGATAATTAGGGTTGAGGTCACAAGGGATTGTTGTGAGATTTGACTTATATTAACATTTAATAAATATTCTCGGTAAGCGCTTAATGAATGGTAGCTTTTGCTCTGGTTTCCAGCTGTTTTGCCTTAGTCTGGCAGGAAGTTGCTTAGGAACTGAGTGAGCTCCACATTAGTTCCTGACTGTAGTACCCTGACCCTGTTTTGCTGTTTGTGGTCTAACTGACCCCAGCTGGGCCCCTACTCTGCCCCTCGTCTGCTCACAGGGATTCTCCCCCTTTCTTAGGATAGCAGGCTCCTGAGGCCTGTTTCTTGTCCTTTGTACTCACAGCACTCTTACCCATTGTCCCTACTGCTGGTGAAGACTCTTTCTCATAATCCTAACTAAGCTTCACCCTCTTCCCGTACTGAGGCAGCCTTGTGCAAAATAGGGACCTTCTGGTATCAAGTGGACGGATGCTGATGTCGTTCCCTATTTCAAAACGTCTGCCATCCCCTTCAGACAGGGAAACTGAAGAGACCCCATGGGGGGGGGGGGGGAACCCTGCTTTTTCGCTTTTTCCTGCTTCTATTCTTGCTAGTGATGAGGGAGCCAAAGACAAGCCAAGGGCAAAGCACAAGCTAACACCCCAGACCCCTCTCTCCAGGTGGGATATGTGACACTCCTCAGGCACTTCTGGCCGCCCAAGACCAAAGCAAAGGGAAAAACAAACTGACCGAGATCACAGTCGTGCAGGACGTGGGTCTCCATCAGTTTGCAACTGTTTTAATGATTTACAAGAAAAAATGCAATCTCCCGAAACCTACAGACTCAGCTTCCCGAAACCCTAACATCACCCTCCCCCTCCATAGTGATGTGGGGAACAATGGCAAGAAAATGTAGATAAAATTAAATTTCTTTATAACCTGCAGCCCATTGACAAATACTTGAGATAGGCAGAGTAAAACATTCCTCCGGGAACTCCCCATGGTCTTAACATTAATACTTTGCTAGAGGGAAAAATAACTTTAGCTCAACAAAAGCAAGGCCTCCAGTATCTTGAGTCTTCATCAGCATATGAAAGTCTGAGAACTTCCCACTGCCTTTACACACACACCCTCCCCCAAACTCCCAGGTATATAATCAGTTCGAACCCCAGAGCAGCTCTTTGGCCCACCGGTCCTGTCCCCATGTTTTAACAAAGGCACCTTGGCACCAAAGACATCGCAAGAATTCTTGGCCATCGGCTCTGGACCCTCACCACCACCACTTCAACCTCATCCCTAGGACTTGCACCCCCCCCCCCACCCTAAACATGCCTTATGGTATCGATAAAGGTATGTCCTCCTTGTAAAGGTAAGGGAGTTCAGGGTATCTTTAGTCTTCTAGCACAATAGATAACACCTAAGTACTGATGGTGCGGGGTCATCATGAAGGGTTTTCGGAGACTCCTAGCTCCAGGGCATAGGTATAAGTGACTTATGGGGAATACCTGGGCACTCATCCTTTTTTTATTTAATTTTTATTTATTTTTAGGTTTTTGAAAGAGCTAGAGAGTAGGGCAGGGGCAGAGAGAGGAGCAGGCTCTTCGCTCAGCAGAGCCCAACACGGGGCTCGATCCCACAACCCTGGGAGCCTAAATCAAGAGTCTGATGCTCAACCAATTGAGCCACAGAGGTACCCTGCACTCATCCTTGTTTTGACCAGTTCCAGGAATGCCTGAGAGGCACATACCCCAGGGCCACTGTCCTCAATAAAAACCCCGGCTCCCAAGCAAAAATGGGAGTCTCTCTCCTGTCCTTCCTGGGTCTCCCAGACACTCAGGTCTGCTATAATCTATCCCTCGCACTATTCAATAAACTCTGCTCTCACTTCCTACCAGCTTGAGTTTGATTTTGATCCTGTGTGAAGCCAAGGACCCTCTTGAGGGACCCTCAAGATGATCCTGAGGGACCCTCTCTGGTTCCTCAGACCTGGCCAGGCTGCATCACCCTAAAGGTTACTTTGGACTCTACCCCTTCTGCTCACTTCAGGGAGGCTCTAGATGGTGGGCTTGGTGCCCCCCTGAAGTTTCCCTGTGATGCCACCAACCTGAAGATGCCTGTGACTAGTCCCTGAAAAGTCACTGAAGGTAGAAAACTCTGCTTTTCACTCTTAGGGTATACCTAGGCTCTGTGTTTTTTGTACAGCTTTTCTTTTCTGACTGCCCCTGGGGATTGGCCAGGAATCTTTCAGTACTCACCTGCAGAACATTTTTGTAAAGCCAGCTTAAATTGCACATTCATTTTAAGTAAGCTAAATCTTTTGCCTGATAGGAAGCAGCAAGTGTTAAAAAAAAAAAAAAAAAAAAGGCCCCAAATGGAGTCACTTATGCTAAGCCCCAGTCACCAAACCGAGACTTGACTTAATTACAGTTTTGGCTCTTCCAGAAAGGGAATCTTAAGCCAGTCAGTCAGGAACTGTCTGATCAGCACTAGCTAGGTAATCTGCCTCAGAGAACTCTGCCATCCCCTATAGCAAAGTGACCTTGTAATAACCAACCTGCTTTTATGCCTAGTATAACTTCCTAGGTCCTGTCCCATCTGACTACAAAAGCCTTTCATTTTGCAAAGCTCTTTGGAGTTCCTTTCTACGTGCTAGGTTGGATGCTGCCCGATTCATGAACCACTGAATAAAGCCAATAGATCTTTAAATTTTACTGTTGAATTTTGTTTTTTAATACTTCATAGGAGACAAAAAATCCTGGGGCAACTCAGGACAAATTGAGAGCTAGAGCCAACACCCCTCACTCCCCACAGGACAAATACCCAATGCTAGCCCCTGGGCCCATATCTGATACAGTCCTTCTCAAAGCAAGACCACAGCTCAAACTGTAAAGGATTAGAAAGCATGACCAACAAGCGGAGAGAGCTGCAAAAAAGAAATGTTAATATCCCAGCCACTAAAGCACTTCCAGCTGGGCCTCTACCTACTGATGGCTTTACCCATTAGCCTCTGTGCTTGCTACCTGATGGAAATCACTTTGACTAGCTCATAGTTCCCAAATCACCAAATCCACCATGGGGCCCTCAGAAGACAGCTTGTTCTGGGTCAGTACTCCACCTTCAGTGATGCCCTCATGAAGGCAATGCATCATCCAGTAGTCATTTAGCTGCCTGTGCAACCGTCAACAGTAAGGTCTTCAAGACACGTGAATGGTAGGTCACAACACAAAAACAGTCAAAATAGCTGGATATCTGGGGGCGCCAGGCAAGCGTCCGACTCTTGATGTCCACCCAAGTCATGATCTGACAGCACAGAGCCTGGTTGGGATTCTCTCTACATCTCTCCCTCTCAAAATAAATAAATAAACTTAAAAAAAATAGCTGGATATCTTCAAGAATGAGAAAATTACTTAATTTACTGATGCCTACGTAGGCTTGACCTGACTCTCACACCTGACCCGGGGCTGACAGCTCTAGCTATACAGTCATCCTCATTACCATACACTGATGTCGCTCACAGGCTCCCAGCAGGCAGGTGGCACACAGATGAACTCTGGTGAGTCAGACAAGCTCTACGCAAGGCTCTTCCCTTTGTGGAGGAGGCCAGGAATTACAGAGGTCTGCCAGGCGCAAGCTCTTCAACCACGTGGTTCTCCTACCATGGAATCAAATGACTGGCCCAGGAATCAGTGTCCTAGCCAAAGCGAAACAGAGATAGCCAAAGGCTGCCTGTGAGGTGGCCCAACAGCAGGCAGCTGCCAAGCAAGCTCTTCAGGAGGAACGGGCCCCTTCTGATGGGCAATACCAAACCACATGTCATATGAAACACTTCTGCTGACCAACTGGAGCTACTGCTCACCAACTTCAAGCTAAGCCGGTCAAAGAAACAAAGCCAGGCTCCAAAGAGAACAAAGGGAGCTACAGACCTTCAGGAGAACACGGCCCTGCATGGTAACCCATCCTGGGTGGCTATACTGCCAGGAACAGGCACATCTGAGGTCAGGGTGGCTACCCAAAGGGTTCAGCTGAGAACTCTCCAGGTTCTCCATCCATCCAGACGTGGAAGTGGTCACCACAGTGGAACACCAATGGGCTGGGCAACTGGAAACCCTACACTCCAGAGATTCTAACTAAGCAAAGGGCCACCAATAACCCCACAACCTCCATATTTGTGTCCACACTCCACCAACTCTACCAACATTTACCAGGCAGGCCCTGCTGCAACCAACATTGAGCAAAGATAAGGTTAACTATCCACTAAGAGCTTACTTACTCTTTAGGAGGATAGGAGAGATAAACATACAGATGACTAGAACATAAGACACCATAAAGCATCTAAGAGGTATAAAGCACTACAAAATCGAAAAGATCTCCCTGCTACTTAGGAGGCTAAGGAAAAACCGAAAGGAGGAAATGGTCTTTGAACCAAACCCTGAAGGACATATACGACTTTAACAGGCAAGGTCAGAGGACAAGAGCGAGTATTCCAGGTAAAGTGTAGTGATGTCAAAACACACTATATGCCAGTAGTCTGACTTTTCCAACGTTCTGGTACGTGGAGGACAAAGGATTATAGAAGGAAACAAGACTGTGGGCTTCAGGAAAAGAACCACAGCCTCTCGTCTGTGCATTCTCTCCAGCTGGCCCAGTACCGGGCTCGCAATAGATACTTTAGATGTTAACAGGGACATTAAAATGAGGCCACCTGAGGGCCACTGTGACAAGAGCAGATGAGCGCTTCAGAAGATGATAATGGATCACTTGGTAGATTGGCAGAGGGGACAAGATAAGGGCAACTGCTATCCTCCGGCCATGGGGAGAGCTTAAACTGGTAAAGGTGATAGGTCAAAGGGAAGGGTCAGCTCTAACAACATTCCAAAGGTGGGACCAACAGGACTTGGCACAGGACCACCTTGATAAACTGACACAAGTGAACAATTTCAAGACACAAGGCACTAGAAGAAAATATGGCTTAGATTGGGACAAAGGATACCCCTCTCCCCCAGCTCCCCAGAGGGCAGCTAGTAGCTAAGCCTTGACCATCAGGCACATGACTATGTTCAGTAAATGTGTAGATTTGAACTCTCCTGTTTGCAGGAGTATACAGGAAATGATTTTCCTTCTCCCTGAAGCAACATTTCTGGCCACCACACTAACTGCCTGACACATATCAGACACTCAAATATCTGGCAAACAAATGAAATGAACAAATCAACGTTTAAAAGCAGAAAATACAAAATTCAGGTAATGGTAGCATCTCAGGAAGAAGCTCTGTAGGCAAAGCAGATGCAACTGAGATTGGTGTGAGGCGCCCCCAAAGTGCCAACGAAGCTCTCCCCATGATCACCCGGTAATTTCACAGAATAATGCGGCTGGAATCCAGTGTTTTGTAGCTCTAGCCTCAGGTGGGGGCTTACAGATTTTTATGTAAGCAAATACATTATAAAACCTAAGCCAAGAATACTTAATGTCAGCGAGTATTAATGTAAATAATAGGAAAAGGTATGTACAGATTTCATTTACACTTTATACAGGCATTTTGAAATTTCAGCTTACTGTCCCAATTTTTCAGCTGAGGCACTGAATCCCAAAAGCAGAGCCAGACTGCACATTTTGCATTGTCTCTGAGAATTCCCATGGAAAACTCCACTGCTAACCAGACTTGGAACAAAATACACCAGAACAGGGCAGCTGGGGAGCTGGTGGAAGGGCACTGGAATAGGAGTCACTCAGTTTGGGTCCCGGAGGATCCTTGGGCATTCCTCTACAAAACATGTTTCCGCAGAAACAAGTTACCACACTGGTCCCTCCCACTTAGTCGAGCTGTTTGAGGATCAAACATCATATATCAATGGAAAGTAACTCTATATGCTGAAGCATTAACAAATGTAAACGTAAAGAACTACCATTAAAGGAGAGAGAGAATCTGATACCACTTTCTAAGAAATAAAAAGAGAGACAAAAAGCCCAACAGAGCCCAGGAAACTCCACCAAAGGGCAGAGATACTCCACTTGGCTCCGAGGAAGTACCACAATTAAGATAATTAGCCTGACTGATAAAAGCAAATCCACTCCGGTTAAGAGACTTCACTAAACAGCACCACACCCGCCACTTAACAAGTGGGGCCACGACCTCACCGGTAACACCTAGACATCTCTGCGCCCCAACCTTAAAGAACAGCTTCCTCCAAAATGCAAGCGCCCACCCACCCCTGTGAAAAGCAGGAGGTTTAAAGCCTTGGTCTTCCTGTCTCTCTTTCGCTAGCGAGTACACTCAGGACCGGACGCGCGCCACACTAAGAACCTCCTTGGAGTGAAATTTCAACGCAATTTTCAAAACAGCTCTCCACAGACTTCCCAACACAATAAAGAGCGATGAAGAGCTCTTGGCAGCCTCAGGACTCACCATTTGCCATTTGTTGATAAGGAAGCCGCACGGCAAGTCCCTGCCAGCCCCACTCCAAACACATCAGACACCACCAGACTCCACTTTGCAAAGTGTTACCCCGCCGGACAAGGAGTCTTTTTAGAAACATCAACTTTTAGGAAACTCGCCCCCAACTGATTCCACATCTAAAAGATCTTTAAGGAGCAAGGAAAAGCGCGGGGGGGCGGGGGGAGGGATCTAAACCCGTATAAAGTGTGCACCCTCTCTCCTCTCACGCACCCCCCCGCCCAGAGCGCGCAACAGGAGCCCATCAGGCAGAGCACAGGAGCCCCACGCCCGGAGCTGCTCACCCTCACGTGGTTCTCCACCGCCGCGCGGCCCGCCAGCTTCTTGGCCTCCTCGGCCTTGGACATCGTGGAGGGGGCCGGGCAGGCGCCGTTGGCGTCCCCGCCGTAGGTACCTGTACCGCCGACGCCGGCGCGGGTCCCGGACTGCGTGCGCCCGGGAGGCTGCACGTGGGAACCCAGGACACCCCAGCTGTTCCCGCCTCCGCCAGAGGCCGCGCCCCCGGCCCGCCCGGGCAGCGGGGCCAAGACCCGCCCGTAGAGGGTGCTGAAGGGCCCGGGGCGCTGCATCCCGACGCCAAGCTCCAGCCTCCGCCACGGTCCCGCCCCCCGGCTCGTCCGGAAGTGTGGTCGCTCACGCACAGAACGTGCGCCTCCTGCTGCCGGAGTCCTTGCTGGGAGGTGTAGTTCTGTGGCTTCGGCAGCCCGCACCCACGCACCAACGGGGACTACCAGCCCCACAATGCTGCGCGACTGGCGAGCAAACAGCCCGCGACGACCTTCGGTGCGACGGCCCGTGTGGCCCGAGTAGCCAAAGTCCGAACCTAGGCGTAACACCTAGCAGAGATGCGTTTACGCCGCGCCTGGGAGGGTTCCGGGGTTTTTTCTTTCTGCCCTCACAACCAAGAAAGGGGTGGTGAAGCTGACCTTGTCGGTTTTCCCAGTAGTAGGAGCGTGGCCGTGGAGTCCTTAGGCCAATCGCTGTTCTAGAGACGTCGCCCCCTTTTGAGAGGTGACTGCTCTAGACACTCCCCGGGGAAATGCACAAGCGGTTTGCGCGGGCTTGTTATTGGACAGAGAACAGGTTCTGAACCCAGGTTCAGCTGCTCCCTGCTGGAAAATCAATATTCGAGAGACAAGTAGTGGCGGGAAAAGAAGGTTATTTTTTTATTCAGGAAACCGGCAACCTGGGAAGATGGTAGACTAACTTCTCAGAGACCATCTTCCCCGATCAGGCGAAGCCTGAGGGTTTTTAAGGGGAAGGCATTGGAAAAGGGAGGAGAGCTAAGTGCAGAGAAGCAGGTGCCAGGCAGCTAGTCGTATGTGGATGTGACCTTAAACAGACTTGCTGGGGTCAGCGGTGTGGCTGTTTGTTACTGTAGTAAGGCCTTATCTTCTGGGAAAGCGTGGGCCTTCATTCCTCAAGGCCTGCAAATCTCAAGGAAATTAGGCTGGTTCTGCTGTAGACCAAGGGACTTAGGTCAGCAAGCAAAGAGTGCATAAGCTCGAAGCAAGTTAACCCTTAAGACGGTTGGAGTGCTGTTACACACTGAATCTTATCATTAGAGCTGAAGGCCCTGGACTACAAGTTTAGAACTCGCAACCTGAGACGTTCTGCACCAGACAGTTTTGAATGGCTTACTGCCTCCAGGATGGATGCCGGGCAGAGACCTGGCAATCCTTGCTGATGACTTATGAAGGGATTCAGAACAGGTGTCCCCAAAATGTGCCACTTTGTCATGTGGACTGTTTGGAACTGAAAGCAATCCAGACCCTGAGGAACTCAAGAGAAACTTTGCCCCTCCCTTAACTGCCTAGAAGTATCTAAATTGGGTGTCTTTTCTAGAATGAGAGTTATTGCCAATGATAAATTTTATCTAACATCTGTATAGCAGGGCAAACATCTAATTACCAAACATCTTTCTTATTGCCCTGTGAATTGCCCTTCTCCCCTTTGAACTCCACAGCATTTATCCCATTCCTTAGCTTAGGCTGGCATATATACATATGACCTCATTTGTCTTGATATAGGCCAAGAATTTCTCTGTGAAGCCTTGAGCAGCATCAGTCAGATTTACCAGGTACCCAGCCCCAAAGAAGGAATGGATTTGTGTCTCATTTCAAGAAGGAGGCCAGAAAGAAATAAAATAACCTGTTCTGCCACCTTGGTATATAAATGAGTTATCCAGAGAAGGCAGAAGGGCCCTTTCTAAGACTGACCGCACCTTTAGCCAGGGACCCTCACACAGTTGGCACCCTCACCTCATTCTGGTCTCTGCCTGCTCAGTGGTCTTCCCCACACGCTTTATAAAGTACCCCTGTCCCAATCCTCAGCCTCCCAGTCCCCACCTCATGCCCATCATCTTATTCTGCTCTAACATCATCTTGTTAAATAACCTGTTTCTTTGTTTATTGCCTGTATTTCCCACTTCAAGAATAGAAACAGAAAACTGGTGTTTCTTGTTCACTACTGGATGCCTGAATTTATGGAATGAATGAATGAATGAATGAATGAATGAATGAATGAATGAATGAATCAGCCCTTGGCTCCTCCTTCCCCTCATCCACCAACTCTCCACCCTCACCCCCACTCCACCTCAGGCATGGCACAGAATAATGTCCCGCTTTGATTAGCTTACAAGCAGTTTTAAGAGTTTAAGAACGAGTTTTACTAAGAAACAATGATAAAACAACAGACCCAAATAACTGCCTCTCAACTGTTTTTCCTGTCTCTCAGGAGCTGTTGGCTATGTAAGAAGCACACTGCAGGCATTCCTGATTTCTTTTACAGCAACTGTTTCCTTGCCGATTTCCCTGACTCAAGGCCCAGCCACAGCTTAAAGGAAAGGGACTTCAGGTAGAGGCCCCTGGGCCTGGTAGTACCACACCTGGGTAGGGTGCAAGCAGGAGAGGAACAGACCTGAGGTCAGCTGCTTGTGCCCCACCCCCACCCCATTGGAAAAGCAGGTTACATCCTGAGTACCATTTAAGTGGCCTGACACAAAGTTCTATTAGTGGGAAAAGAAGCTGTAGGAAATGAGCACTTTTTTTTTTAAGTTTATTTATTTTGAGATAGCACGTGTAGAGAAAGAATCCGGGGCTCGAACACACAAACCATGAGATCATGACTTGAGCCAAAACCAAGCGTCAGATGCTTAAGCAACTGAGCCACCCAAGCACACCCATCAGCATGTTTTTCTTAAGTTGGTTAACTCCAGGCTCTCCGAGGCTTCAATTTTTTTCTAAATTATAATCTAAATATTTATTGGGTTTATGGCTCAGGTGTTTTGATTATAATATTTTAATAGACTATTTATTTTGAGAGAGAAAATGCACAGGAGAGGCAGAGAGAGAGAGAGAATCCTGAGCAGCCTCTTCACTGTCAGCGCAGGAGCCAATTCAGGGCTTGAACTCTCGAACCATGAGATCATGACCTGAGCTGAAACCAGCAGTCAGACGCTTAATGGACTGAGCCACCCAGGCACCCCTAGACTCTACTTTTGAAAGCAGTTTTACATTCATAGCAAAATTGAGCAGAAGGTACAGAGATTCCATATATACTGTCTTGCCCCCACCTATGCATAGCTTTCCACTGCTATCGACATCCCCCACCAGAGCAATATATTTATTACAGTGGATGAACCTACATTGACCTATCACCCAGAGTCCACAGCGTGCATTATGGGTCACCCTTGGCGTTGGACCTTCTATGGATTTGGACAAATGTATAATAACATGTATCCACCACTGAAGTATCATAGAGAGTAGTTTCACTGCCCTAAAAATCCTCTGTGCTCTGTCTGTTCATCTCTCCCTCCCCTTTAATCCCTGGAAACCACTGATCTTTTACTGTCTCCATAGTTTTGCCTTTTTCAGAATGTCACATCCTTGGAATCATATACTATGTAGCCTTTTCAGATTGGCTTCTTTCACTTAAAAGTACGCATTTAAGTTTCCTCCACATCTTTTCGTGGTTTGATAGCTCACTTCTTTTTAAAACCGAATAATATTCCATTGTCTGAACGTACCACAGTTCATGTATCCATTCACCTACTGAAGGACATCTTAGTTGCTTCCAGGTTTCGACAATTGTGAGTAAAGCTGCCATAAACAGTGTGCAGATCTAGGTGTGGACATAAGTTTTCAGCTCCTTCGGGTATAGCAAGGAGCACAATTGCTTGATCATATGGTAAGAGGAGGTTTAGTTTCGTAACAAACTGCCCAAATGCCTTCCAAAGCGGCTGTACCATTTTGCATGTTAACTAGGTTAACATAGCATGTTAACCAAGTAAAATTTAAATTCAAAATAACTAAATAAACAAACAAAGTGGGCTGTACCATTTTGCATTCCCATCAACAATGAATGATTATTTCTGCTACCCCTCACCCTCACCAGCATTTGGTGTTGTCAATATTCTGGATTTAGACCAGTCTAATTGGTGCGTAATGGTATCTCATGGTTATTTTTTTAAATTTTTTTTTCAACGTTTTTATTTTATTTTGGGGACAGAGAGAGACAGAGCATGAACGGGGGAGGGGTTAGAGAGAGAGGGAGACACAGAATCGGAAACAGGCTCCAGGCTCCAAGCCATCAGCCCAGAGCCTGACGCGGGGCTCGAACTCACGGACCGCGAGATCGTGACCTGGCTGAAGTCGGACGCTTAACCGACTGCACCACCCAGGCGCCCTCTCATGGTTATTTTAATTCGCATTTCCTGGTTGACATGTGATGTGGAATATCTTTTCATATGCTTATTTGTCATCTGTGTATCTTCTTTGGTGAGGTGTGTGTTAAGGCATTTGGCCCATTTTTAAATCAGATTGTTTGTGTTCTTATTGTTGGGTTTCAAAAGTTCTGTGTATGTTTATACAGCAGTCCTTTCTCTGATATGTCTTTTGCAAATATTTTTTCCCAGACTGTGGCTTGTCTCCTAATTCTCTTGAAAGTGTCTTTCACAGAGCAGAACATTTTAATTTTAATGAAATCCAGTTTATCAATTCTTTCTTCCATGGCTCATGCTCTTGATGTTGCATTTAAAGAATCATTGCCAAACCCACGGTCCTCTGGATTTTCTCCTATGTTATCTCCTAGTTTCATAGTTTTGTATTTTATATTTAGGTCCGTGGTCCATTTTGAGTTGACTTTTGTGAAGATTATAAGGTCTGTGTCTAGATTAATTTTTGCATGTTCCAGAACTAACTGTAACAAATTCCCTTAGAGCTCAGGTCCCAAGAAATCTCTGTGTACTCCTCCTGGTTAACAGCAAAAGTTCCTGCTATTAGACAACAAAAGCTATGATCAGACTTTTCAGAAGCTCAAACTTTCTACTTTTCAGTAATGGAACACAGCTGGTGGATTTAAAGAAGTTTTTCCTACTTTTTGCACATTTCTTTCCTATTAGTCAAGCATGTTTAAGTTTACCTTGTATTGTCCCCTTATATATTCAGCAGAACCAAAATATAGGCAGTGCTGCACCTTATCTATTTTATGAATGCCTTTAACTTTTACACCAGAAGTCCTTGAAAGAAATACATTTATCCCAAAGCCACACTATCCACTAAGGAGAGAAGTCACCACCTATTCTTTCAAATTATGCTCAACTACCTAGGCTGGA